GGTGGCTGCAGGCAGCGCCCCGCCGTAAGGAGGGGGCCGCGCCTGCCGCCCGCAGCTGCCGCCTCTTCCCGCGGCCCAGCGCTGCGGCTGGCTGCCCGTGCCTGCGCGGTGGGGTTCGTCCTCCGCCGTCCTGCAGCAGTGCCGTCTGTTTTCAGTGTGACACGTTCAGGCGGCCTTTGCGCAGCACCCGGTAAGAACGGATGCAGTTAATTAAGAATGCCGTAAGGCACCCTTTCTCACCTTCTCATCTCTTCCCTTCGAAGCTCAGTGACCAACTCTAGCGAGAAAGGCCAGTTGGAACGCTCACCCCTTGCCTGCATTTTTTCCTTGTGTTCCCGGCTTGCTTACATCCTATTTGCTGTAGGACCCATCAAAACATTTGTTTCGCACATTCAAGTCACCTAACATCGGCCTTGCTGACCTGGAGGTTGCTCGCTTGCTGTGGTACAGAGCGTGCCAAGCCACTTGCGCGTGCTGGAGGGGTTAGATAAGGGCACAGCATTTCACCCGGCTCACACGGGCTGCAGCCCTCCCTTCAGAGCAGAGCTGTGGAGCCAGCTGGCTCCCCAGGGCTCCAGCACCCGTCTGAACTACCGCGGGAAGGTGCCAGCTCCCACAGCTTTCTCCTCAGTGCTTGTTTACAAGCGCTCAGTCCCAAAGGCTGTCTAAGGACACGTCCTTATGTGGGCCGCACAGACTGCTACGTGCAGTTGATCCAAAACTTCAGGTGACCAGGACGGGAGAATACGTGTGGGAAGGATTAGTGCCCGTGTGCCCTGTTACCTTTGTTCTGTCCCTAGACACCTTGTTATCAGCCGCTGCCCAAGGCAGGACACCGGGCAAGACAGTCCACAGCATGACCCAGTCCAGATACTCTTGACAAGCTCATGGTCAGGCAGGTCAAGACATGCAGGAGAAGCTGAATACTCCCTAATACCTTAGCTAATCTATCGCAATCCATCTCTGCATACCAGCTTCACAGTTCGTGCAGAACTGTTTGTACACGTAAAAGGACAATATTTTGCTGAAACAGCCTGCTTCGTCTTTTCTCAGAAGAGCAGGTTGTAGAAAGTTCTGCCCATGCCATCGCTGGAAACATTCAACTTTACTCTTCTGATACCGACAAACAGAGTGATACCTGAAGTGATAGATGCCGATGCTACTGAACGTGCCACTCAGCAGTTAAGGTAGAGAAAGAGGAGGTTATTGCTTTCAGCATCATTCCTGCTGACTTTTGTGGTAAATGACATGCCAAGGTCAGCATCACAATCTGTAGCAGAAATTAGTTCTTCGACATGTCTTTAAGTGGGGATGATACATAGTTTTCCTACCATACAGTGAGAAGAAATGTCTTAAGCTTCATAAGCTATTGTCTTATTCAGATGAGAGGTGCTAGGTGAGCACAGGATGGTTTCTGTTCCACAGGCAAGCACCAGAATTCCTCCTCTACTCGAACCAGTAAAACCCAGTCACAGGCATCTTCACTCCTCTGCAGCCTTCAAACACAACACGTGCAGCCAAAAGGCTAAGAGTGACTTGGGAAAGAAAGAAAAGGGTAAATAAACCAGCACAGAACATTTCAACAATTGCATGCAGTGTTTGAAAACTGTCGCTATAGTTGTATACTGTGAAATTTGAAGCTTGCAATGGGAAAGTATACAATAATATAAAAATAATTTTTATTTTTACCATGCAGGGATTTGGGTCTTGAAAATAGTGATATTGGCCATCTTGGGTCTCTCCTTACCTTGACCTCTGTAGGGGGTAACTGATGCAGAAAGAGGTAGAGAGGAATTTGTTTGTGGGCAATTCAGAGTACACCACTCATCAATCTTATTTTTGAAACAGGCCTAACCTGAATGCATTCTTCATTGCAGTCAATGAAACGAGGAATCTGAACCACTACTTATATGCCTCTTGAATAACAAAACTCTCCAGTGGTAGACTGTACAAAGCAAACTTGCACAGCAAAGCATTTGAAATATAAATTACATGAGAGAGATTACATTTTAGACTCCAGTTCCGTAAACTCTTGCGCAGAGGCGGATCCTGCTGCCTGCATAACACTCCGCTGAAGTTTGTAGCATTCCAGTCCATCTAGAGCGAACTGCAAGATGAGAGCTCTAGTTTATAGCATATTAAATAAGTATACAATAGATTTCTTTACTGCAAGCAATTGTGTGTTTGATACTATCTCAGAGAACCATTCCAGGAAAAGACTGATACTCTTTTTTACTGTCCGAGATAGCGTATACATTAATTCCATAGCTGCATATTTTATTTCATATGGAGTATGTTTAAGAGAAAAAACACTCTTTATTTTGTATAAAGACATTTATTTTTCTTGTGTTTGTTGCCATGGCAATACTGTATCTGGTGGAAAGCTAAATTTACATTTAAAGAGACATTCTTTAAAAGGTAAAGGCAGATGGCTCCTAAGAATAATTTATCTTGCTAAGAAGATTATGCTTTATTTCATAACGTTTTGAGACTTAATTCAGTGCAACAAGCTGGGTGGTGGTTGCTGGCCCCCCAGCAGACAGGCAGGAGGATGCTACATGGACTTCCCATGTTCCAGTTCACACAGAATGATACTCCATGCTCCTGCACAGCAGAAACACAAGGAGCAGCATGGCAATTAAATCCATGCCATGTACTTACTCAAACCTGGGTGTCTTACTCATATGTCTGTCTATTTTTATGTAAGCAAGAGCACTTAATTTTGTTAAAAGTTGCTTTAAATAGTTTTAACAGTGTTTGGAAAATCACTTGTAAAGGTCACCTGCCCTGAATTTTCTTTGAACTTCTTTGGTATAATACAGTGTATGTATACAAACATTAATGTTTAACTTTCACCTCCTTTACAGGTAAACAAACATTTTTCCTACTTTGCAGCTGTGAAAACAGCAACTGAGTAACATTTAGGAAGACGCTAGCTAAAATAGTTTTAACAGTGTTTGGAAAATCACTTGTAAAGGTCACCTGCCCTGAATTTTCTTTGAACTTCTTTGGTATAATACAGTGTATGTATACAAACATTAATGTTTAACTTTCACCTCCTTTACAGGTAAACAAACATTTTTCCTACTTTGCAGCTGTGAAAACAGCAACTGAGTAACATTTAGGAAGACGCTAGCTATTTCCTGACAGAGCTTTTGATGCTGTCTGTGGGATCTGTGGGATTCGGTCCCCTGCACTAGGAGGATGACCTCCCCAAAGACAGCACCACTTTCACGCAGCTCCCAAAAATGCATGTATGTTAATCATGGTACTGGGTTTTTCTTAACTTTGCTGTTTAATATGAATATATTCTAAATGAGTCTCAAATATAAAACAATTTGAAATTTGAAAAAAATTACAGAATTCTTTCAGTTACTGAATCATACTGAGATGTTTGTAATTTTGGAGCCAGAATATGGAACAGATGATACCAGTTTATTTGTTGAAACAGCAGAATATAGAATGGGTGAAGAAGATTATTTCTTAGAATACTCTAACCTGGTGTGATTCCCATAACTGATTATTAATGAATATGGTTGAAATCTATGGTTTATGCTACCTTCAAATATTTAACTCTTCGTGTATCTTTCCTATGCATGAAGTGACAGCAAAGGTAGGCTCTGATCACCAGACAAACAGCCCAGTAGTCCTACTGCCTTAATGGGATTTCATCTTAGAATGATCGTTGGGCAATACTGTGGACATTTTATGAAAACAAAGCAGCTGAAGCTTTTGCACAAAATTCTGGATGTGCCAGTTCTTGCTCACATGTGTTCCAACCTCCCCGTGCAGCATCTCGCTGGGCAACATGGCAAAGCCAGTTAGTGTCTAACACAGCTGTCTGTGATTTTTAAGTGATTTTTACAATACAGAGACAGACAGTATACCAAGAGGCCATAAGTTTATTTTTTCAGAAATATGTTTGTGAAATTTATTAACATTCCAAATTAGGAATGTGAAGCATCCAAATTAATGAAAAAAGAAAAAGAAAAAAGTTTAAAATTGGTATTTCTGCATTTTTTTTTAATCTGGTAGGTTTAACCACTGTTATTCTCACAGTTTTATTACACACAGTCTGACATTCCTTTTAAAGCTGTTGCTTCTTTATTAATGAATAAAAGTCTTAGGTTTTGAGTAATTTCTTCCCCGCTTGTTAGCAGATATACCTACAAAGGCAAAGCCTGAAAACTCAAACAGCAACAATGTTAAATTCATGGTTTGGGGGGTTTCTTCAAGTTAGTTTCCTGACTTTTGGGGCCCTAACAATTTCAATTAGTATGAATTTTAAGCAATACAGAATTTGGAGTTAAAAAAATCATCCAACTGGGGTTGTAGGATGATTGAACCGCATAGTAGA